ACAAAAAAACAAAAAAAACACAAAAATTTATAAAACACAAATGATTAAAGCCTACTTAGGGGTGGCATTAGCACATGATAGGGGTGCCATTAGCCACCCCCATCAATAATTATAGTTTGTGGTACATACTTTGAAATAAATACCAAATATAATTTATTTATTCACTTATTAAACTATTAAAATAAAATTATAATCATTATTATAAATAAAAAACAATTTTTTTCAACTAATTGTAAAATTTATAATCGATTATTTTTGATAAGAAAATATTTTTTCAAAAAACAAGCTACATGTATAATTAAGGGTAAATTGCATGAAAAAATAACGTGTTTTAATTTGATTTTTATTTTTGGGTAACGTACTTTTAAAAATTCTATTTTGGTATCTAAGATATAAAGTTTTAAACAATATAGTAACCGATTAATACTTCAACCTGTAATCCGAATACTTAGATATTTAAAACGTTATATCTTAAATAGCAAAATATAAATTTTAAAAATACGTTATCAAAAATAAAAATCAAATTAAAATACATTATTTTTTTCATACAATTTAACTAATAACTAACATATATTAATTATTTAATCATTAAAAAAATATGTGGCCCCACTTATCTTCTAGATTTGCAAAAAAGCCTTTTTTTTTTTTTAACTTGAAAGACTTTGTGAGGGTCTAAAACGTAAACTTTTAGAACTCAGATTGCATTGAATAATTTTTCATAAAATAGATAAAGGGACTTGTGGCAAAAATAAGGTTAAAAAGTAATTTTAAAAAGTTCAGGGACTGTTTGGTAATTCTCAAAAAGCTCATATTTTAATATCGAATGGAAATAAAAGTTTCAAAACCTCAGGGATTATTTTTAAAGTTTGAATTGGGGCTAAAATAGGAATTTCGTATTTAAAAACTTTAGATATTAAATTATATTATTAAATAACTAGAAGCGTACTCGCGCAATGCAGCGAGATACATCACGATTTTAATATTTTATTTTATTCTTTATTTCAGTCGATGTTATAATATGACATTATGTGATTTTGAGAAAGCGATGATGTTTTTATTTTTGAATAAAATATATGTTTGAAGATATCATAAAAATWTGACAAAAATATATTGATATTAGTATCAAATTAACTATTCGAAATTCCTCATTTTTGTGTAATTTTTTAATTCAATTTTTTTAATTTAATTTATGTACAATAACGAAGTAATTTATATTTGGTTTAATAATATAATTTTTTATAAAGATAATAATTATTTATTTTGTTGGAACTCGATAATTATTTTAATTATATTTTAGATTTTTTATATTTTAAAATGAGATGTTCATTCTCTATTTGATTATGTTTATCCACAGTTATTTATACGAATTCAAACATCGAGCTTTAATAAGTTGTACTTATGTATTATTACTTGTAATCTTGAATTTTAAGTAATATGCATCAATATACAGTA